AACATGGGAAAAAATGAGTAAATCTAAACACAATGGTGTTGAACCAAAAAATACTATAAGTAAATATGGAGTAGATACTATGCGATTATTAATATTATCTAGTGTTGCTCCTACGTCTAATAGAAATTGGAATTCAGATAGTGAGTAATAAGTAATATAGTAATACAATAATTATTAATACATATTTTTAATATATATTTTTAACTATTAGCATTTCCTGGAATTTTAAATTGGCAACATAGATTATGGTTAACTATAAGAGAATTTCGAGCTATTAGAAATAATGATGATATTCAAAGACATACAATTGATTCATCTATATTTCAAAAAGAAGAAATTAAATTATGTGATGCACGTAATTATCATGTCAAAAAAACTTCTAGTAACTTCAGAAAATCATATCAATTAAGTGTAGCCATTTCAAAACTACAAGGATTGACAAATATTCTAAGAGTATAAACATATTTTTATGAGCTTTTCAATTACATATTTATTTTTGTAGATTTAAATGTATTAATATTTTTATAGAAGTCTCCCAAAGATTTGATTAAGTATAGTGCAGAGTATGAAAAATTTCTGGCTGTTCAAATAATAATGTTAGCTCCAATGGCTCCACACTTTGCATCTGCTTTATGGAGTGGATTTGTATCTGCACCAGGTCGCATAAATCATGAATGGGAACAAATTAATTGGGAAAATGATGTAATTAATCAAAAATGGCCACAAGTGGATAGCGATTATATTTTAAATTTATATTGTTTGGTAAGTATTCAAAAATGTAAAGAAAACTATGAGTATTTATATTGAATGAAAACAAATATTTCTTTGTAAAATTATTGAAGTAAGTTAATAATTCATTAAAAATTGGAAGTTAATGTTTTTGGGTGTTATGTGTTTTATCATTTGGCACAATTATATCGACGATTTTTCGTATTTGCCATCATATCAGCCACTTCATTTTTCCAATTATATACTAGTGTATTAACAAATGTAGTGTTAATTTAGCAATGTACATCAGGTATTTTACATTTTAACATATTCTTGGGTTTCTTTAGTGTACAATGTTCATTTGATTTTATCTCTGTTAATGGATTTATTCTATTATTTTTAGAATCAATTATGTTATTGCAAGCATAATATTTTTTAAATACTATTTCTTTTGATAGATCTTTTTTTTTCTCTAGTTTTTATCATTATCATATTATTTTTACTTTTATAACACAGTTCATATACTTGCGACCTGCTTTTATGTTTTATCTAAAAATAAATTATTCAGTAAGTTAATTATTTTGTAGTAATATCAATTTTAAGTAAAAATTAATTTTTAACTTTTTTATTTTCAGCTTTATTCAATTCTCTCTTGATAATCTGTTTCATTAAATTTCCTGAATCAAAAACTTGATTGTTTTGTTTTATTTCTTTAAGAAGTTTATCCTTTAATCGAGTTAATTTTCTTTTACCATTATTACACATAGAATGTTCATTTTTTTTTTTGACAATATTTAAATTCATTGTATAACCCATTTTTAGGGCAAATTCGTGGTTTATATTTTTTCTCCACGCTTCTTCTTCTTCTTCAATCCTTTTTGCTTCTTGTTTAAGTGTTTCCAGTCTAAGTAGTCTCTCAGCTTCTTTTGATAATACTTCATTTTCTTCTAGTTTTTTTTTTTTTGCTATTAATTGTGCATTAGCTATTTCTTCCTTTTCTTTTTCAATTTTTTGTTGTCTTTGTTTTTCCAACATTTGGTTACGTTTTAATTTAATTTTTATTTTTTCTTCCATAATTTTAGTTTTTTCTTCTTGTTTTTTTTGTTTAGCTTGTATAGATAATTTAAATTTATTTTCTTCTTCTTCTCTTTTTTTACGTTTTTTTTCAGCTTGTAACCATAATTTTTTTTTTTTTTTTCATAAAAGAATCTGCTTCTTGTTGATCTTTTATTTTTCTCAGTTTTTCACTAGAATTATCTTGATCTTCATGAATTAATGAGTCATTTTTATTTTTTACTTCATCTTCCATTCCATGTTTATTAATATCTATTAATTATATTTTTTATTATTAGTATTATTTGACATGGTTTTATTTTCTACTACAAATAATTTATTTATACATATTATTAAAAATTAAAATTATGTTTTTATTCTACAATTATAAGTTATATAGTTTAAGTAATATTTCCATATTTAAATTATAATGCTAATTTTTAACTAGATAAAAAAATAACCCTTACTTTGGGAAAACACTTTTTGATGATTTTGTATTTTTTTTAGATTTATTATGTTTATTATTTAAATTTAAAACATCATTCATTTTTTGTTGGTTTTGTAATTTTATAGATTTATCATGTTTATTATTTAAACCTAAATTATCACTGTTTTTCCTTTGGTTATTCATGGTTTTATTTAGTATACTAAATTTTTTTCCATAGTTCTTTAAAGTATGTATCAATGTTATATAAATATATAATTACATAATATGGTTTATGATTACATTTTAATAAAACATACCATTTTTTGTTGACCATAGACATTATATTTTTCATTTTCACGCTTACGAAATCTGTACGAATTATTCCCTTTTTTATAGTATAGTGGCATATCAATCCATTTGAATCCCCTTGGTGTAGAGAGCATCTTTAGGTAATCACTGTGTGTTAGAAGATTTCTATCCACAATGGGTTTATAGCACACTGTGTGGTAATTAGGTTTGTCGCATAAATCATTTGTTTGACTTTTAATTTTTTCATGACAGGAATCAATTTTGTATGTAGCATTTTTGTTTGTTGTATTCATTTTAATTCATAAGTAAAATTTAAACAAATTTTTATAAAAACCTTTTTTATTTAGAGATGAAGTATTAACTTATTTTAAATTTTTGTTATAATTTTGAATATCAAACAATGTAGACATTTGGTGGCATGGTAATATACTATTTGTATATTATATTTTTTTTTTCAGGTTAACAATGCTGTTAAATGTACATTGTCAATTCCCAAAAGAGAAATGGCATTACTTAATAAAGAATCAGCTATCAAATTAGCAATGACTCAAGATATTATTAAAGAGTATACATCATCTTGGAATATTATTGATATTGGATTTCAATCATACGAGGACAATGATGCGTATGTTTTCATTAAGACTGACCGGAAATCAGTTGCAAAGACTAAATAAATCTACCAATTACAAAATTGTTAATAGAAATATTTAGTTGTAAAAATCATAAATATTATTTTCAATATTTATTATATATTAATATAGAAACAGTAAATAGTATAAAAGTAGAAATATATCTTAAATTCTTTTTTACCTTTTTTTTTTACAATAATATGTTAAAAAATTATAGATACCGAAATTTTAAATGTTTGTTATAAAAATAAAGATAAAGTAATGTTCTTACACAACTTATTACTAAAATATATCACATTTCATAAAGAAAAGAAAAAAACTTTATGCTTAATAGTTTATTTTAGTAAAAGATAAATTAGTGAAATAAGACATTATCATTATAATATACCTATTAAAATAATCTTAAGATTTGTTACCATGTTAGTCTAATAGGTATTAGCATGCCATATAAAAAATTAAGAGAATCAATTCATATTTATATTATACATTTAGTCTAAATTATAAATTTCAATGACACAAATCAAGTAACCTATTACTTAATATATGCAATAATCAGAAAATGTCAAAATTCCATTAGAAAATCTGGTTGGAATTAATTGGCTCTATTGAAGCAAATCGCATAATTAATATAATTATAATGTTGGAACCATTAATTTTTATTCAGTTTATTCAATCAAATTAATTAAAATATTATCAAAACATATTTTTTTATATGCAAATAATTATCACAGAACCAAGAGTGAGTAGTGAATATATATTTTTTTTAACTTATTAAGTTAAATTTATATAAAAAATTAATTTGAGTCAGTCAAGTTAAAAGTTATTACATGAATTTTAAATTCATTATATTGTTGCGTGCCAATATCAGATCCAGATCCAAGGTGTTATTAAAATGAATTGTACAACCTTTAATTACAATAATATTTAATCTGTATAAATAAAATACATGTAACTGATATAAAAAGTGGCTGAGTGTCGTGAAGTTGCTCTGTTCTTCGTAGCTCTGGTACATCTGCCCTTGTTGGTCTTCGGACTCCCTTATATACAAGAAAATCTCTTGTTGTTGTAATCGTCAACCTTCCAATTTAGATTATTTCTTGGAATTGTTTTCACATTGAAACAACAATCTCCAGGATGTTATCGTCTTACTGGCAATTCTTGTAAATGCAAAACGATCTCGCCTAAGAACTACTATTTTGATTTATTACAATGTTTTTACAAAATATGAATCTAATATTCGTATACATTATAATTATTAGATCACATATATATTTAGATTACTATTACTAAGCAATATTACACATTATATTACATATTAGCATATCTCGTAGCTCATGAATATTATATTATAATATATTTATATTATTAGTATATCTCGTAGCCCATAACAATATCTTTAATTAGTAGATAAAAAAATTTACTTAGTTTAAAGATACAACTTGACTAATTTTTTTTTAAGTTTTATATTAATTGATAAAATTATTATATACTTAGATTTTGATATTTTTCCAAAACTGCCACTTATGCTTACACAGTTATTTACAAGGGATAAAGTTTGGAAAATTTTAACAATTGTTAAATTGTTAAAATTAACAATTTAACAATTGAACCAACCATTAATTTTTGGTCACAACAAAATAAAGTAAAAAATAAGTGATAATATTAAATTGTAAATACATTACTTAGGTATAATCTGACTAATCTTCACTTGATTCATTTAAACTATATTAAGTATAAAATAATCAAAAACTTTTGTCTGCGTAGAACTGATTATAATTATTATTTTTAAACTGACAGATTTTTTTTTCTTTACATCATTAAATGTTATAGATTGTTCTAATTTGTACACTTATATTTTTTTTATTTATAAAAGACTTATTACAACTTAATTTATAACAATTTTTAAACGAAACAAGAATTTAATTATAATTCAGTTATTTTTAATGGTTCACGCTTTGACCATGGCATTTTTGGCCCATCTTTGCCATTATCCAGTATTTCATTAAGAAATTGTAAATAGTCTGATGGTAAACCAGTTTCATTTGCTCCAAGAAGAATAGTTTCAAGATATGCTTTAGATGGTCTTCTGTCAAGTGGCAATGGTATTTGTTTAACAAGTGGTTGATTGACTAGCTTGTAACAGCGACTTAATATATTATCACTGTTCGGAGTTACAATGTTCACCTCAAACGGTAAATACATTTTAATGTCAACGCCTTCCTGTTTATCAAGATTGCTTAAATCACTGGTATTCAGTTGCCACAAAGTACCCCAGACATGTTCCTCAGAGTCTGGAACCACTGTTGATGGACATCCATCCCAAAAATTTGAAAATTCATTAAAATCCAAACGGTATCCCTAAACAAAAATACATCATTAACTAAAAACTATATTGAACTTATTTTCAAAACAGTCAACATACATTCAGTTTGCCAGCTCCGATTCTTATAGCAGTTGGATTTTTAATATGAATTCGTTCTGCAAGCATATTGCTTCCGTACGCAAAGTACATGAATTTACTCATATTATTGGCTGTGACGATGGAAAAAAATAAAGTATAAAATAATAACCAAGTAATCTGCATTGTAACAAGCATTTAATCACGTCACCGATTATGGTTTTATAAAATCACTTAATTTACTTATACAATACCTATATTATATTAAATTTAGTCTTATTTTCCTTCCAGCGTTCTACTTGACGTTTGTACGAAACTACGAATGATTAATGAAAAATACCATAAATACAACGGTCAACGATTGATGAAAAGATTGATACAATGACTTATTGTGAGTGTATTGTGGTATATTGTCTATGTTTCATAAATAGTAAATAACTTTACTCTTGTCTTAAATCTTAAATCTCGATCGACCAACGGTATACGCACTACACAATTATTGAACGATAATCACTTAATCAGAATATGAACATGAATATTAAACTAATTACTGATTATAGAATTAACGTTTTATTCATATTAGCATACGAGATAAGTAAGTGCCAAATGGCAATAATGGCATACAATTCGTATTCGTTTGTTTACCTAAAAAATACGTTAAGCTAACCGGCATCCGACCTTAAACGACCTCATGGCTTGCTCCCGTCGAGATAAATAATAATATTATATTTTTGATGATTGTTGCATGCTTTTGATAACATATACGTAGGTAGCGTTAAGACATGTTAGAATGCAATGTTTACATGATAACAATGGCACTATACGGCATGACGTTGCGTCGTGTAAGCTGTGCGTGATCATTGTATTGTACGAGTTTGATGTTTGATGTTTGGACGTTGGATATTGGTTAAAAAGTGCATCCGATTAAATTATCTACTAGATTTTTTAAAAATTTTCTTTGTTACAAAAATGGGAAATGAATTGTTCAATCGGGAATTAAATTAATTTTTAAAATGTTTTTTAAACTTATAGCTTAGACAACCGATATCATTAGCTTTGTCTTATTGTTTACCGCTCTATTGGATAGTAAATAACATTTTTCTTTTTTTTTAAATATAATATAAAGTGATTAACAGATAACTTTTAATTTAATTTGAAATATAAAATTAAATTTAGTAGGTAACAAGAGAAAAAAAATTGTGTCAAAAGTGTCGTCGTTGCCAGATAATTCCTTTAAACTTTTTTTTGGTGTTTAATATTATCAACTGCACTCGTTTTTATGTAATATGTTATGTACTTATTGCGTTTATTGTATAAGTAAATTATTAAAAATAATTTAATAACTATTCCAGGATATCATTTATTTATTATAAACTTAAAAAGTGTATGATGCGATGGTTGGTTGAAAAATAAATAAGCTGAAGAATAATATGAATAAATAAAAATTTTTGATTGAATTGAATTATTCATTATTTTTTTTAAATATAACATTGACTGGTATACTTGATATTTATATCCTACCCATTATATATTTGTATTGTGAAAATTTTTTCTGATAAGTGATAACACTTGTCTGTGCAGGTATTATAGGTAGTGTATTCATATAATAAATAATAGATTGTACTGAACGTTTAATTGACAAATGTGAAAACAATTGGCAATCGTTTGGTACTCGTTTTTTATTGAAAATGTCCAAAAAAAGGTTATTGCACGCATAGGTACCTATAGTAGTAGGTAATAATTATATACTAATGATTAATATATAATTAAATTTAATATCAATGAACACGCATATCTGAAACTGCAGAAATAATTAGCAGCTTATTTATAATTGATTACAACGCAGGTTAATAAAATAATTTAATACATATATTTATTTATATATTGCAATATTGGAAAGTTAGTCAATTCGAAATTAAACGACTGCGTCTGGTAAGAATTATATAATATATTAAATAATAACACCAAATATGTTATTGTTATGACTTTATACTTTATAGGCACTGTTCCGGATTCCTAAGATGTTAGTCATGTGTCTGACTGCAAAGCGCCGGTTTAATGAATTAAAATCTTTCTAGTACCGTGTTTTACTTTGATTATAGTTTTATAAATTATATTATACTATAATGAAAACTGAAAAACTATAGAATGCCAGCGGCTGTGTCAAGGATATGTAACCGGATGTGAATTATTCCTTTTTCTATTACCACTGGATCCGAATTTGAGTCATATTTTTCGATTTGTGACCTATACAAAATATTTTCTGTTTAAATTGACTTAAAATATATGATATAAGTATGACGCACATGTACTGCTTTAGTAGCGAAATTCTAGCAACAATTTAATAATTAACAGGGGTGGCCAAATATTTTTGATAAACATTTACTGAGAATATATTTTTTCTACGATGAGCCATAAAAATATATACAATTATATTATTAACATCAGTCATTGCGATTTTTTAGGGAGTTTCTAAATGTATAGTTATAAATTCTAAAAAAAATAGAGAAGAATTATTAAATTGCAAATTTTATTACCGAAAAAGCTTAAAATTTACATTGTGTATATAAAATTATAATTTAAATAGTAATAGAATGTTTTAGGTTTCTATTGCTAATATTTTTGAATAATAATAAAATTAAAAAATATTAATTGTTATATCGTAATTAAATGTAAATTTGAGTCGCTCATAAAAAATGTTCGTTGCTTTGTTTTATTATTTTTTAATTCCGTTAAAAAAAAATTTGATCACATTTTCAAGTCTTTAGTGTTAAAACTAAAAATATCATAATTCAAATTTTTGTTTCAAAAATAGTATCTAGTATGCTGGTGGAGGGACAAAATTAAAAAATGTTGTCTTGTCGCGCGTATGTAATAAAAAAAAAAGATTAAAAATGTATATTATAATAGGTAAGTCTTTTAAGCAGAAAAAATCATGAACCAAATTTAATTCTATGCGTTCAAAATATTTTGTGTTATAAGTACCTTTATCGTTGAATACTGAACACTATGTATTATACTTAACAGTATCTATATACTACATATACGTAGATAATAATATAATATAGTAAATACCTATGTATTATTATTTTTAACATAATAATTATGTATGTGTTTTAGTGTATAAATTCATAATATTTATACAATATACATTTATACATATATTAGTTATTGACACAGTAATATTATATAGGTAGGTATTTATATATTCAGCTTCATATGGCCGCAATGCATTTACAATAAATTATAATAGCAATTTATACTGTATAGTATGAAATATGAACTAGTATAGTGACAGAGTGAAAAGTGATGTATTTATATTTTATATTTTTATGAATGAACAGTGAACATACTATACTACTATAGTGACTGTGTTAGATAGATGACGTATAATGACCGTGAACGTCCATGACGCATGAGTGGCGAATCTGTCTATTGTATACGAATCCTACATCAAACTCACTGAATATGATATTATAAATTAATCTTATATTGTAATGACGTATCTATAGTAAATTTCATTCACCTCGATAAATCTTCCGTATGGTATTTATCCGCTGGTAATGAGATGCTATCGTTAAAGTCGATTTGTTTTAATTCGTTCTCTTAACAACTACGGTGTTTAGTGTGATCGTATATTAATTGTTTTCTTTGTTAAAATTTACTCAAAGTTTAATATCAATATTTTAATATTAAAGATTATCGGCTTAAAGAGTTTCAATGATAATTTTTGATTACGAACGTACAAATTTATCACTTATAGTACAAATTTATAAATAACTCATACCGCCACTAGTTTCGTTTATTGTCATTTGTACACGGCCTAAAAAGTGAAACGTTTAATAACATGTTAGCACACCATCCGAAGGTAACAAAAACAAAACAAAAACACAATTACGCAAAATCATTTTACTTATATTTTGATAAATAATCTGGTTATATATCGAATTGTCTCAAAACAATTTAATATTAATTTAAATGAGATTTTGTTTTTTAATCAAACAATCATTAATAATAAAACCAATAAGTCCAATTTTCATAAATATTATTCTCTATGATTTTATATTGTAACTGGTTTTACTGTAAGATTACTCAAAAAACGCGTAAACCACGATTTTTCGTAAATGCGTTTAATCCACGTTGTGCGAGGTTTTGAAAGAAAAAACAATTATCGCGCTAAAACTCTCTTGAACACATTTAAAACAAAAATATCACAATCAGCTTTGGTCGTTTTTCGACGAAAACCAGATGCATTTAAAATTCACTATACGATTACACTCGGTTATTTAATGTTTACCAATTAATAAAGTTTAAATACACATTTATACGAAGTCGCTATTTATTTAATATATATAGGTACCTCTAATTGTAGAACAAAAACTGACGAGGTCAGGTATATATTTTATGCGATAAAGCTGATTAGCTGATGAACTTATATATATAATAAGTAGGTTATATGGGTATATCTAAATAAGTGCGGTCGACTACATGGTCGCTCCGCGTCTATATACCACGGTCGCGTAGGGTTAGTCAGTGGTCGATGTCTCGGAATCGGTATGCGTCATTCACATGCAATAACGTTTCGGATTTACGAAGACGCTATAATACACCTGCACGTACTACACCACCGCAATACATGTAAAAAAGCCCATGATTCAGTTTTCGTCAAGCCATCGTTGCATTCGCTTTAATAGTTTTTTAGTATGCCGCAGATGCCGTACCTACTACGATCATACCGACACGGAATAATGAAATCGTCGACACGCGCGGATTCATGAACCGCGATGATGGGTTTTCTGTAGATATAATTAATAAACGATATGATATTATTTTATCTAACGTCATCTGAAGTCCTCTCGCGAGTTCCTTTTTTTTTTCTTTTGACGACAATAAATAACATATAACAATATATTTGGCGAACGTGATGGACCGACGTTCGCGGACACGTTGCAATTTCGGCAACTATTTCCTATTCCCGCCGAATTGACTTTAATGGTGGACCGCTGCTGACATGTGTGCGGCTAACGTCATATTAAGCTACTTTAGCACGTGATGTCCGATATCGATCGCCAAACTACAGCATCCGAAGATCGAAACGCCGCCACTTCTGTCGTATTGCCAAACGGTGAGTTGAACACATTACGGGTTTATATTACGTAACATTTTTCCGCAACATCATTTGTATACCTTCACATTAGTTATTGATTATACGTTTTTGATGTTTTACGCGAATGTCGTGAATGTCCACTCCTATAAATTGTTCACTTGCCAATGTTAAATTTAATGACTTCCATATTTTTTCACTAAAAAATATCATGACTATGAATCACGTAAAAATTAAGATTAAAATGTAACTGATGTTAACGTTCTAAAATCATACATATGTGAAAGCTCCTAGTAATTAGTATAGTTTATATCCATAATCTTAACACCATCATCAAAAGTTTTAAATTAAACTTTTATTATATCCAATACTCAATAGATAATAATAAGTGTATACTGTATACGTATGTATAGTAGTTATGAGTCTATTAAATTTGTAAGCATATATTATATTCGGTATAGAGTATGCATAAGAATATAGAATAGAGCCATGCCACAACAATTATTTTGTCAGAGGTCGATAAGATGCTCGATCTTCAATGTTTTGTTATACCTATAAAGTAATAGCGAAGATGGGTTGATTTACTAATAATTACAAAATTATCATGCATTTGGCC